TTTATTTTTATATTAAAAATATTTAATTCTTATATTAAATATTTAATTTTTTATATAAAATATTAATTTTATATTAAAAACATTTAATTTTTTATATTAAAATATTTTATTTTTAATTAAAAATATTTTATTTTTTAAATTAAAAAAATTTTATTTTTTATTTAAAACATTTTATTTTTTTATAATAAAATATTTTATTCTTTATATTAAAAATATTTAATTTTAATAATAATAATATTTAATTTATTTATTAATTTATTAATTTATAAATAATTAATTTTTTATATTAAAAATATTTGATTTATTATATATTAAAAATATTATGAAATTTTTTATTTATTTTCTAGTGGTTCTAAAAGCATAAATTAATTCAATTTATCAATAAATGACATACATCAATCAAAGAACAATATTTGCAATTTAATAAGTTTAATCAAGATTTCAAATACAGATTATAAAAAATTATAATCATATCCTTGAGAAATAAAACTGTTCATATAAATAATATTAGAGTAAGTGATACCCTAACCTTGTGCACATGTACGAGTAGACCATTCAAAATCGCATTAAGGTAACAAACATTATCAAGATGTATTGGAAAATTGCTATTCAATTTCGAATTTAAGTGGCTCTTCTCCAGTGTACCAAGACAACTTCCTATTCTTCCCCAGGCAGGAAGTTAGTTCATTTATTCGACTTTCGTAGCAATTGTGCTGTGTAGGTATTATATTTCGTGTCGTTCGTGTGTGTGAGATAAAACACGCAGACACAGTCTGTTGCACAAACAAAATACGTGTAAAAATGTACAAAATTTGCTTTAACACGCATAGATACAAATTCAATGACAGAAGTAGGAGTACAACACAAGGTTATATATATATTCGTTGTCATGCCAGTGGCCATTTCTTAAAATTAAACTATTAAGTATTGTAAAGAATACGTAAGGTTGTGTTCGCTAAGAGCATCAAAGACAACGAAAACATCTCCGGCATCACGGACATACTCATAAAAATGCATTATTAATCTGTTCCATGCTATACCAACCAACAATAAAAAGGTTCAAGAATTCATTGCCAACAAATAAAATCTGTTGTCATTTCTTATTTATTTTTTGCTTTCGAGGAATGCTTTATTATTTTTTAGTAAAAATTTAATATTTTCTATAATAACAAAATAAATAGTTCGTAGAAGAATTTCTTTAACTGAACAAAAAGGGCAGACAATTTAATTTATATTGTTAATATAATATATAAAAATTGAAATAATAATATATATTAAAAGAAATGATAGTGGTGGTAATTTTATAAGGTATTCAGATATTTTTTTACAAAATTTATATATTTATATATATTTATATATTTATAATAGAAAGGTAGTTTCAAAAAATGTGTTTATTGTAGTAGCTTATAGTATCTAGTATAGTATATAGTATAGTAGTAGCATATAAGTATTTTTATAATATTATTATTATACGTGAGTATAAATCTCACGTGGAACAACTTTCTTAATAAAACCAACATACCTATAAAAGCAAAATGGAATCTATTTCTAACAATAAGTAGAAGAATACAAACATATTGTACTCAAGTATGGAGTTGCACTCTCTTCGAAGAGGTGCATAAACTCCAATTACACTTCTTAAAGAAAATATTGAGAATGCGACAATTTACACCAACATATGTATATCTTAATCTTAGAGACTGGGGCGAAAGATGGACATTTATATATGTTATATATGTTACACCTCAATTACATTTTCAAAACCATGACCAAAAAATTGTTAAATCTTAACCTTTCTTGGGTGCAGGTTCTAAATGAGCGGGGAAATAATAGAGGTATAAATTGGAATCAACAAACAGCATCGCGAAATCTTTGGAAGGCAAATAATGAACTGCTGTTGACATTTCTGAAAACTGATTTGAGAGACTATATATTTGTCTCTATATATCTATATATCTATATCTCAACAAACTAACCGAATTTATAAAGACTTAACACCATCACTAGGAAAGAAATATATAGCTGACTTTACACATATTACAAATATCACCTGGATACTCAAGAAGTAGCACGAAACAGCTAAACGGAAACAGATTTGAGGTATATACGAGTAGGTCTGTAATTTAGATGAGACTGAATATATTGTACACTTTCTTGGCCGTTGTCCTATTCTACAAAAGTTTCGATTAGATTTCTTTAGTAAAGCTAGTCTATGTATGTAAACATACATACATAATATTAATATTATCATATATTATTACATATAAGAAATATTTAACTTAACCACTCTAGTTTGTTAAGTTCGTTTCTCACCATACATACCTACATCCTGCAAATTTTAAGAGTATAAATAAGTTATTATAGCAAAAACAAAGGTTCGTTTCAATTAAATTCTGAGCCGCTCGACCACAATTTTATATATTGAAGTGGAATCTAATCACGGAAAACTAACTTAAATAGTTCCAATCATTTTTAGAAAATACAATTAAGAACTAAACAGCGAAAAAAAATCACTTATTCAAAATTAATATAATTAACCGTTTGACTTTGAATCAATTATATAGTTAATCATAGATCTGAAACTAACCCACGATGGTTTGTGTAAAGTTTATTACATGCCTCACTTGCGAATTGTTGCAGAGCTGCAGATCGTGACAGTTAAGTTAAAGCTTAGCGATGATATTAGAAGAAGTTCCAGTTATATATAAATATCAAACTATTGTATTATTATTATCACCAATTTATAATATGAAATTCTATAGAGGTGAACTGTTAAAAGATTGTTTCTGAAAAAGTTTTAACTTTTTTGTAGCTCATCTATGTTGCAGTTTATATACCAGAAGTAACAATTGAGGTTGTACTTAAACATAAACTTACGTGGAAAGAATGACTGTATATTACTTTCATTTGGCGAGGAGTTTTGAATTTACATCGGGTCCTGGGATACAAAGATCAGCAGAGGTATTGGTAGGCTTCGCTTCTTACCAAGAGGTAAGTTATGCCAATTATTTAAATTGGTATCGGCGGAATTTCCAATAGGACGTTTATCATCGCATAATCATGATACGTGTGATTTTAGAATACCGAGGGAGGTGACCACATTAAACAACTCTGGGTTCTGTCTACCATCCCTCTACCATCTCTGTCTACTTATATGTTAATATCAATAGAAATTTTTTAATATTTTAATTGTTTTTGGATAAACATTTTAAAAGTTTGTACATACCATTGTTTGTTAACACTAGAACTAGTTCAAGTAAACTAACGAGTAGTTAGTTGTTTTTTGATGTCAACACATTTTTCTGTTAAGAGATTTTTAAAACCTTCACTTTAATTTAAATCACCATAAGATCATGTGGCTTCTCGCGATAACGGTGTAGGTATAGACCTGTGGTATTGAGAAACCTTCTAGTTTTTTTTTAACATACCTTATACCCGCAACTGTTGAGGTGTTAAGATATCGTTGATATCGACATTACTATCGTATCAATTAATTACTATTTTAATGAATTGAAATTAAGTATAGGGACTTTTTACAAGTATGGAAATAGACAGTTAAAGTTGACAAATAGACGAAACTGATATAGTGGATTATATATGCAGGTAGTTGAATAGGAGAAAATTTTGAATTTATTTCAATTAGCTCAATTCTCGTAATTTTGGGTACAATTTTAGGCATATTGGAACCAAACGGACACTTAGACTGATGTAACTTATTGTCCAATTGATATTGTGTAGCTTCTTACAAAATATATTCAACACCACAGTGTTCTAAATGCACATATCAAAATAATGCGGTGATAAACGTTCCATTGGAAATCATACTACTGGTACCAAATAAAGTTACACCTATATTTGGATATAATTTACTACATGTTGAAAAGCGAAACCCATCTAAGGCTCAGCTGTTGTTTAGATCACAGCAATTTTCTTTTTCTGTTTTGCGGCAAGGAGTGTAATGCCTACGCACTGATAACAATCCGACGCCGTGAAAAATGGGATCCCAACTCGCACGGACTAAAACTATTCCCCCTGATTCAAGAGACCTTGTTCATGGTGCACATGAGTTTATATTTTTATAATCTTTTTTTAGTTAAATGTTTAAACAGATATATATAGAATCACTTTTATTAAAATCTCATATTTACTATTATATATATTTATTTATTTATTATTATACTCGTATATTTATTTACTATAAGCTTATAACTTACAGCCATGCCTAGTATAGTCTTCCGCGGGAGTTTGTATTTTTATATAAGTTTTCATAAATATCTATAATGCATTGTATTTATGTTAAAAAAGATATTTGCATATTTAGATAAAAAAAAATATGCTAGTAAATAATAAATAATTGGTTACTAATGAAGCACATATGTATAGGATTTTAAAATTTTAACCGTACTATAGTTCAATTTTTTAATGTTCTTTTTTCAGTTTTAATTTTTAAGGTTAAAGATGATAATTTAACTTTATTTATTTTAGGAAATTAAATATTAATTTCATTCAAATACATACATACTTAATATAAAAGGATGACGAAAATTACAGCTGGTCTATTTTTGCAATACTATCTTTCCACAATACGTACTATGGTAGAAAAGGTTAATCATTAAAGTTTTAATATGTATGCTCGTAAATACCTTCCTACTAACGTACTGTAATCCAATAATCGAATTAATATAAAAAATTAATGATAACATTATTAAAAACTTTAGAAGCGTAATGTTCAAGTAGAACTTAAGTAAAATTCTCTGACAGCTACAAGGATTGTGAACAATTTGTAGTTTAGCTCTCGAAGCACTCCTAAGAGTATGCACTTAATTTTTTACTTATAAAACACTACACTACAGTTTGAATGTACACACTTAGATGGTTTACTTTAGGAAGGATTAACTTTGCCCAACTTGAAAATAACAAAACGTAAAGGAAAAGAAGCGTAAAGTCGTAGGTTGGTAGTATGCTCGGAGAATTTAGTATTGAAAAGTGGAAGTACTTACCCGGACTTTGCGAACCGTTTTGCGGCTATCGTTACGTATGTTCACAGTAACGGATATATCCTCACCGTGCGTATACCACGCTTTGTCCAAGTTTGCGCGCAAACCGACGCGACCATCTTGTAACAGGAAGGGCTTATCAACTGCGCCTTGTGGTCCACCACCTGTACAGGTATCGTACTGTTCGTGAACAAGCAACAGCCACAATGTTAACCGGAAGCAATGTGAAAGTGGAACAAATATAAAAAAGGAAACGGAAATGTTATTAGCCTTTTTTTTATTTGTATTATATGTAGGAATGCTTGAAAAATGTTTTTTAATATCAAATTGGAGTTTTTATGAGCGAAACACTTTTAAAAAGTATATAAATATTAAAATTTTTTATTGAATTTTATTTAATTTTGATTTTAATGATTTTAGTTTATTTCTTTTTTATTTGCTCTTTCTTAATTTATATTTTATTATTTTGTCAGTCTGTGTCTCTTACCTCTTGGAATGATTTGCTGTAATTATAAAATGGATCATTGGGACACTTCTCAATTTCACTTTTACTGCGCCCAAAGCGGCCACTAAAACGAAATGATTTCGGTGATAAGCGAAGCTTAGGAAACGAATCACCGCGTTCCGATTTACGTGCTTTGACATTAGAGTGGGCCAAACGATTATCGCCAGCACAGCTGCTGGCACCACTTACAGTACTAACGCCGGCGCCACTACTATTGCTGTTAGTAATATCTACCGTAGCGGAAGTACTAGCTATGCTGTCAGTATTGCCGCAAGCAGTTGAGGCGGTTATTTGTGCTGTATCGTGCTGTGCACTTGATGGTTGCTGTGCGATTGGTGCGGTTGTTGGAGATGTTAAAGCTGCCGTCATCGGTGGTGATGCGGCTTGACTGTTGATGAGTGCTGCAAAGTTTTCCGGTCCGTTGGTATGATGAAAAACATCAGTGCGATAAATAACGCGTACGCCCATTTTAACGGAAGCGCGACGATGAAATTTTTCATCAGTTTTGTCAGCTAAAGAAAACATTTGAAATAAACATATATTAAATGTGTACATGTAAACATCAAATAAAAAATAATGTTTATTAAATTCAACAAATTACATTGGATATTTAAGAAAACATATACGAAAGGAAGCAGACACATACATATATACAAGAATTTTTAAAGGAAACGTAATCTCTCAAGTTTGTCCCGCTTGCCTTGTGCTTATATATTACTTTGTCAACCTAATCAAAAGCACACAAGTAAATTGCGAACATGTAATTTCAATAACTGAATTTGCTTAAATTGCTCACAATTTCTTTTGGTCCTTTTTATATTGTCAGACATTTTGCTTTATGCTTTAAATAAAATTGTATTTCCTGTTCCGGCTTCCATGAAATTCCACACAGGATAAAAACGCATATGAAATTTTTTTATTTTCTTCCATGTGTGTCGATTTTTTGCTTTTGCTTTGGTTGAATTCAAATTTCCTGCTGGTGACCTTTTCATTAACATAATAAGTAAGTAACTCATTTCATGCTACCAACAAGTACGAAGGACCTGAATTTGGTCTAATATAACAAGGATACTTCATTTGCTTTTTTTTTTAATCAGTAATTTACTTTCTTCACATATTTGCTGTACAATTTTGTTAATTGCGCCTTGTTTGAGTTTCCTGGCAGCATCGTTTATGCGCTTCAATGTGTTGGTGATTTTGTATGTGTGAGTAAGGAAGTGAAGAATTAGTACGGTCCTAAGTCAGCGTCAGTGCTGCATAAGGTGAATCACTGAGTTTCCTTTAATAATTTACGAGCTGCATGAACAGCTTGACTGTTCACTTGACTGTCGCAGCATACAGAGGATGTCCTTAGACGTATGCAACAGTTTATGTATAATACATAAAAGATATTCCACATACGTACACATTCGGTTTTGGGTTTTCAGATATAAATTTATGATTCATATACATTGTACAGGTTATTTCCTTAACGAATTTCATAAAATTATTTATTTGAATAATTTATAACCATACTCATATCAAAGATTAAAATGTATATACTACTAAAAGGCAACTGAAAATGCTATAATTCCATTGTTCCATTTAAGAAGATAATGTGAGTTTATTCAAAAAGTTTTAAACAGAAACCATATGCGGTCCCATTTAATTATATTTTCAACATTATGGAGTTCAATGTTAGGAGCCTTTAAGTTTCAGTAAAAATATTAAAATAAACAAATTAGCTGTGTTATGTTAAGGCCATTTGAAAGACTACTTACATTAACTTAACTACTTTCAATACTTTTTAGAAAACTTGATTAATAACTCAACAGAGAGGACAATAGGAACCGTGTTATTCTGAATTCATAATATAGCTACATCAAGGTACTTTGAGTATTCCACTCTTATCGTAAAAAGATCCTTAAAAATTTCAGAGACGAAAACCAAGGTACAAATAGATCGTAAAATAGATTTAAAACCACAGTGTTCTAAATGCACATATCAAAATAATGCAGTGATAAACTTTTTGTTGGAAATCATACTACTGGTACGAAATAAAGTTATATATTTGGATATAATTTACTACATGTTGAAGAGCGAAATCCAATCTAAGCGTCAGCTGTTGTTTAGATCACAGTAATTTTTTTCTTGTTTTTTTTTTCTGTTTTGTGGCAAGGAGTGTAATGCCTACGCACTGCCAACAATCCGGCGACCTGAAAAGTGCGTTCCTAACCCGCACGGACTGAAACTATTCCTCCCGGTTCCTAGGGATCTTGTTCTATCCGGCGACTACGGAAGTATTACTTCGAGCTGGGGTCTCTATTAGTCATTTAAGATTTTCATCGGTATGATCTGCGTTCAGACCCCGTTACTGCTTCAGGTGATTAATCTTAACCTACATCTTGGTGTGATACATCTACTTGATCTAGTTATTTTCTATCGAGATCTACTTTTTTCAACTTCAGGATCTTTTCAGCAAATATTGCTATGCAATCTTAGTTTGTTCTGTTTTCGGTTATTATTTCTATCACCGTCCTTGGAAAGAAAACATCAACTTGCGCTGCTACCGCTTCTCGTTTGGGCAGCTACTTATTGCACTCAAAGAATTTATATTCTGCGGTATTATTCTCAGTTCCGCAATATATGCAATTTGGTGACTCTATTTTGCGTATGCGATAGACGTAGCTATTCATTTATCCATGACTAGACTGGAATTTAGCGAGGTAGTAGTTAACTTGCGCTGCTACCGCTTCTCGTTCGGGCAGCCACTTATTGCACTCAAAGAATGTGTGTTCTGCGGTACCATTCTCAGTTCCGTAATATATGCAATTTGGTGATTCTACTTTGCGTATGCGATAGACGTAGCTATTGATATATCCATGACTAGACTGGAATTTAGCGAGGTAGTAGTTAACCTCGCCGAAGTCCTTTGCTGGCCAGTTTTTTAGCTCGGAAATGAGCCTTGCAGTCTATCGTTCACGACTATCTGAGTTCAAACAATGCTGCCATACTGTAATGGTTCCCGCCTTGTCGTTCCCGATGTGTTTTGTCTATCAACATGCCTTTCGCTTTTGAGCCTGCAAGTCAGTGGGAATTTTACCACTAATCATCAGCATCCTTGCTTCGGAAACGTTGCGGTACGAGATCACAGCAAAGCCCATCTTGAAGCAAAGCCCATCTAAGCTTCTGTTGTTTTTAAGATCACAGTACGTTGAGCATTATTAAGTGTTCAGGAAAGAGTAAATTCGTCGAAAAAGATCAGATTTCTAGAAAGAACGAATACTGAACGAATTTCTGGAAAAATCGTTGAGTTATTATTATTAGTAATTTTTTTCAGGGTTGTATCACTTTCGTATCACTTTTAAAATACGCTAAATGCTTTTTTTTGATATATGTTTTTCGTTGTATTGTGTACAATATGATATATAAAAATTGTGAACATTAAAAATTAATTAAATTAAATAAAAGAAAAATATATTTAATATATTAAAATTAATTTATTTATTTATATATTTCAATTTATTAGTAAATGAAATGTTCATGTGATATTAATGGATGACTGAAATTTTGCAACAGTGAACTTTCACAACAGATTGATTTTTAATTTGGCTACATTGAAATTTAACACGTCAAATTTTTGACGAGTAAAATTTAACTCTGAAAATTTTAAGAGCATTGTTATTGCTTTATATGCTTTCTTTCGTAAGTTGCGAGTAATTTTTTGCTACTCTGAAAGAATAAATTACGGCTCTTATAACATAAAAGTTTTTCTAGTTAAATTGATGTTGAAAAAACAACTCAAACTGAAGATATTTTCACGTGTAGAAGAGAAACATTTCTTTTGAGAATTCAATTCTAATATTAATAATGCAAAAGGAAAGTTTTCAATAATTAAATTCAAATGAATTAAATGCAGGATTTTTAAAAAACATTTCCATGCTACTGCAGATACAAAATGTTCCAGGAAAGTGATTTCCTTTTTATGGTATTTGCTTGCTTCAAGACAACACGTTTCAAACATAGTTGCTTCGTACTCGTATTAAACTCACTGAACGCCATTCAAATAGAATAAAACCACTTCGATATCAATCCGAGTAAATCGTAAAAGTAAGCACTACATCGGAATTCCTTTATATTTGAATTTACGTAATCCTTTCGATACACAAGGAGGTATAAATAAAAAGGCTATAAACAATTTTTAAATTACATAAAAGCAAGAAAAGCATCGATGTAAAGTAGATTTTAATCTGACAGTTTCTTTAACGTTGTTTCGCCCTCGAAAAGGTTGTTGTTGCTTACGTGCTAAATGTGTCAGTGTCGTAGCTACGAAATTATTATAATTCATAAGAAAAAAATTTAAAAATCCTGGCAGGATATATAGGTATCTGTTGCAGCACAACGTGAGCGTAGAAGAAAAAAAAAAAACTAAAAACAATAAAAATACACAAGAGCTTAGTAGGGAAAAATGCTAACAACAAAAAGTTCTTTTTTTTTTTTATTTTTTTTTTATTTTTTTTATTTTTTTTTTGCTTGAAAATAAGTCATAAGCAGGATATTGAATATCTTCTAGCGTTTTTACGTTGAGACCGGATGTATCCATAAACAGGTGAAAATAATTGAAGTGGAGCGCAGTTGATAAAGCACAATGCAATAGGGGAAGGGGAACATATTCCGACAAATAACAGTTCAAAATTGATTGAGTCAAAATTTGATTTGCCATACACAGGAAATTTATTTATGTTAAGTTTATAAATTATATATGTAAATACTATGTTTTTTTGTATATAAGCAAATGCATGATTCTATGTATAAATTTTTTTATAATATTTTTGTTACAAAAATTTTTTAATTTAATTAAAATTTGCTTCCATTACTATATTTAAAAAAATTTTTTTCCTGAAACACAAAAGCTACTCACCTATAAAGCATCTGACATCATAACTAGTACCAATCGGTGCTCCATAGTAACGTTTTGCTGGCACTAATTGCACACTAGGTGGCGCTTGGGATGTCAGACTCAGTGTAAATGGATGTGCACCATCACCCAAACGTTTAACAAGTGCTTCCTAGAAAGAATTCAAATAGCAAATATAATTATATTTCTATAAATGAATTTTATAATTCATTAACAAAATTTACTTAAAACAAAACAATTTTAATACAGTGCGTACTAGAAAATAAGTAAATTAATTTAATTATAATTTTTTTCTTATGCTGATTGCTGTTTTTAAATTTAAATTAAAAAAAATAAAAAACAAAAACAAAAATATTTATTCAATTAAAATTTTGTCAAAAAGAAAACACTATTCAAAATGTTATGGACCTGAGTGTTCTTGCCACTTGAATATTTAAGGGCAGTTATAGGTCCTTATTTGGGTGAGATAGTAGCAAGTCCTTTTGCATTTGAAATTATTTTTAACGATGAAAATTATGTTAGGAAACGAATTTAATTTAATGAGTAAATAGAAATGTTGAAGTAACAGAAAAATGTCTGAAATTAATGTGATGGAAATGTCATTAGATAAAATTAAATGAATATTTTTTATGCATATTTATTGATATTTAAATAATATGAAGATGAATTTCATTCTTTAATGAAGTTGTTGGATAATTTGTTATTTATTAATTGTTTATTTCTTGAAATTTTTAATTTCATATAGTAGATTATTCAATAAGTATGTATAATAAGACATGTAGGTGAATAATTGAGAAGCTGAAGTCATTCCTCGTAATAAACCTTAGGATTATAATCATGCAAATGTATAAAAGTAGATAGTTGTTTCGTTGAATTGAAATGATATTACTTATCATTATAACCTCCATCTATACACTTATTCCAATGATACTCCAATTAATGGAGGTCAGATCTGAAGTGTTTTTATAAAATTTTTCTAAATTACACCTCAATGCCGTTCATGCAGTAAAATTATTTTTTTGAGTTGCGAGAAGTGTGAAAAGTCAGAGAGAGCTAGGTTTAACTATCCATCCATACACTTTTTCCAAAGATACTCCAATTAATGGAGGTTAGATCTGAAGTGTTATTATATTTTTCATTCAACCTTTGAATGAAAAATATAATGTTTGTATTATAGGACATATTTAAAAGTTACTACTCTATTTTCACTTCATAATTCAGATTAAAGTTAAATAGTCATAAAGATGGTGATTAACAGTCTCATTTTTTTTTAAAATACAGTATTTATAGTTATAGTATAAATTATTATCAAAAATTTAAGTGTTCCGTTCAGATTTAATATGGGTTATTAATTACTTATTGACTGCTTATTGTGTCCTATGTAATCCATTAGTTTGTATTCACCCTTCTCAAAGAAAAATTTATTGACATTTTGGTATTGTTTTTTCAAATATGGTTGTTGAGCAATTAATGTTAGATGAGTGCATAAACTGACTTGGCAGATGGCAAAACACTAAAATCTTAATCATAGCATACAATTCTATCCTATTATATTCTATATACTATTGTATCGATAATCCATCCATCCTTTTCTAACCTACCTATTTTTAAAATTATAAATATAATATTAAAATAAAAATAATACCTAAAACAGCAGGTATAGTTGTGAAAATAAAAAGTCTAAAAATAAAATAAAATAAAAAATAATAAAATTGTTGATTAAGAATTTTATGTCCCATAATAAGAAATTTATTTTGAATGGAAAAATGTGGTATATTTTTTGAAAAAAAAGAAAATGTTCACTAAATTTGCAAATCCAAAAGAAATTTTTTAAACAAGTAAGTTTATGGTGTAATCATAAAACTGTTTTTGATATCGCCGAATAACCATTATCGGTTTAAAAAAAATCTGTTGGTTTAATTTTATGTATATAATTTTGGACTTCAAATATCAGAAATTAAACCCTGTCAACTGTGGTACATCGTGTTAACACACAAAGTCGATTAAGTCGATAAAATTCTGGCAAAGATTTTATTTTGTAAAAAATCTTTATAATCTTTAATTCTTTGAAAAAATATTCTCAATTAATCCGTATGAAGGGTATTCGGTAAGGGTTCGGATTCGGAGAAACATGTATTTAAGATCTTTCTCTTTAAAAATATTTAACTAAATATTCAACTAACATGTTTGTATAACTTGCTTGTTATAAGCATTACTTAATTTAATGAATTTGTGTGTAAAAAACCTCATCTTATTTAGTTTACAAAATCTTTATTTTTGAAACATTTACTAGTATTTACTAAAATGTACAAGTGAATCTCCTTCGACAGCAAGTTCTGCTGTCCTGATTTAAAACTAACCACAAGGGAGACATTTGAAATAGTTCGCTTTGAGTTAAATGAACTGCAAATGAGTGTGTTTTACGCTTGCTTTGCTAAGCAAAGCTACTCATTCTCAAGTGTTTGTGTTTGTGCTGGTGTTAGTATTAGTGTTGGCGTTGTTTACTAACTTTTCATATTTACACTTGCTTTTGTTACTTCATTGGCAAATTATCACCTGAAATAAGCTTTTCAATTTTATTGAGAACATCAACTTATGTTGCGTGTTGGCGTTGTTGTTCTTGTGCATTTGTCTTCTCATGTGAACGGAAACAAATCAAATACACAACCACAGCCTTGTATGCATGAGTATGTAAGATTCTAGTTGGGTGAGTTGGTATTGTGTTAAAGTTTAAATCACAATGCAATAGTATTAGTTTTCTATTTTCACACCTATACAGAATACGTTTACGTAAAATATAAATAAATAAAAAAATTATAAATATTTTATTCCAACTTAGAGATTTTAAGCGATCGATAAAATTAAATGAACTCAAATGCAAATAAGTCAAATGCAAAAGCACAATTCAAATTTAATTTAAAATGTAGACTGAATAATATATTTATTTATTACTTTGACATAAATTGTAAAAAGAAAAAATTCCACAAACAAAAACAAATACAAATGGAAATAAATTGTCATTATTGAATCTCTTCAACTTACTTGCAACGGACTCAAGGACTCTCGTGCAGGTTCTTCGTTGCGTGGCCATATTTGATGTAACGACATAATGGCCTCATTACAAAAGCGCAGACCCATTACCTCCTCATCCTCACGACCATAACTGTCAAAATATAAGAAAAAAATAGAAAAATGTAAGAAATTCTTAGGCACTGCGAAAAATGTTTGAAAAATTAGAATTTTAATTGCTGTGAAAATGATTCGCTTTTCGCTTCTAATGTTTTTTAAAATGAATAAAAAAATGAATATTTAATGTTGCATAAATATAAAGAATTGTTTAATATAAAGAATTGTATAATGAATGGCTAGAATAAATATATAACTAAAATATATAAAGTATTTTTATTTTTCAAGTGTGAAATTGTTTAATAATATCTTTACTGATTGCTTAAATCTTATTGAAAAATCAAAGAGAATGAAATAAAATAAAAAAATTGAAAAAAAAAAAAACTAACAATAAAAAAGAAAAATCTTCAATATTATTTACTAAAGTAATTAAATTAGATATTAAAAATGTTTTTGCTTTGTATTGGACAAAGCTTCAGATTGGATTCCCACTTTGTGTTAAGTTTTGATTGTTGTTTTAAATGTTTTTTCCCCCATTATTTTTTTTAAATTAATATAATTCAATTAGTATTGTAATGCATGGTTTATTTAATACAATCACTTCCACAAATAATAAGTATAAGTTTCAAGAATATTTGATACGTACTTTTTTTCAATGAATCACAATAAATTATTTTAACAAAAACAACAAGAGCTAATATAAGAACTTATATACAATAAGAATAATGCCACGACAACAATAATTCAATTAGCTCAACTATTGCAGCAATATTTCAATTCGCTCAACTATTGCAGCAATATTTCAATTCGCTCAACTATTGCAGCAGTAGGTCAATTCGCTTAACAATTGCAGCAATAGTTCAATTCGCTTAACTATTGCAGCAATAGTTCAATTCGTTTAACTATTGCAGCAATAGTTCAATCGGTCAACTATTGCAGCAATAGTTCAATTGATCAAGTATTGCAGCAATAGTTTAATCGGTCAACTATTGCAGCTATAGTTCAATCGGACAACTATTGCAGCAATAGTTCAATCGGTCAACTATTGCAGCAATAGTTCAATTGGACAACTATTGCAGCAATAGTTCAATGGGTTAACTATTGCAGCAATAGTTCAATGGGTTAACTATTGCAGCAATAGTTCAATGGGTTAACTATTGCAGCAATAGTTCAATGGGTTAACTATTGCAGCAATAGTTCAATCGGTCAAGTATTACAGCAATAATTTTATTAACTCGACTATTACAGCATTGATTCAATCAGTTCAACTATTAAATGGTAACATTCTAGAGAGCCACTCTTAGATAAAAATGAAAAATAAAGCATGGATTGATAAAAATCATCGAATCATAAATTACACTCAATTATAATAGACGGAGTAATTAAAATTGGTGATTGAGTTTCTAGATTACAAGATTCTAGATTACTATTAGTAGTGACTCATGAGTTCAAGGTAAAAATAGGTTCATTGAATTTGACTGTTTATATTTTACCGTCTATATGTTTGTGATGAAAAATATTTGCTACATTTCGTTGACTTTAATGATTAGATGATTAAATTGCAAGAAAGTTATCAATTTTTGAAGTGAATCATCACTAAAATATAAAAAAATAGCTATCTACACCAGGAACAAATGAAAAAGATCAAGATTTAAAAAACATAAGCTATCAACAAGCATTGTGTAACCCGATATGCATTAAAAAAGATTATTGTTGTCAGTAAATTGTTTTTTTGAGTTTCTCCTATGATCAATAGTAAGATGTACTATCATTAATCAGACAAATTGAGTTATTTGCTCAAACCAAAAGACTAGAATTGATCATTAAAAAAGATATAGTCTTACACCTATATAATGCAAGATTTCATACAAGTTTGCTTAGAGGTTTCACAATTTGTATGTAATGTACATATTACCGCAACTATGATATTTTAAAAATTCAATATCTTTAGATTTTCACTTATTTCTGTTTCAACAAAAATATTTTTTGAATGGCAACCCTTTAATTTTGACCGGAAATAACAAAAATTTTTTGTAACAGTTTTTTGTTAAGTGAAATTATACGAAGGTGAAGTCATGCTACTACCAGAAAGATAGCAAAAGGTATTGACCAAAATACCTTTTGACCAAATTCAGTGAAATATTTGTATAACAAAACAAAGCAAATTATTTTTTCCACGAAAAAAAAGGTATTTAGTTGAAAATTTGGAATATCTCAATATCTATTTTTTTTTACCAATTTGGGTTCAGTTTAAACGAAACATAGAACATTTTTCCCAATTCTTAGTATTGTGTTTTGTTTAAAAATTGATATGGTATCAATATAATCCCTATTGTACAATTCTTTTATTTCAAATAAAATATTTTATATTTTATTATAGCGTATAGTTTCTTTTTATTTCAATGAAAATTGTGGTAAATTTTTATTAAACAAATTTTACGTACCTTAATTGGACTACAAACAAACTTTTGTCAATTTATTTCATGAAATTGTATCTACACACTCGTATCTACACACTCGTATCTCACAGTCATTATCAAAACAAACACTTCTGATGATTGTTGCAAGACTCACAGTTCAACCATTTAGCAAAAACCAAAAAAAAAAAAACCATTGAGAAGCAATTTTGCCTAGTGGGCAATAAATTCTTCGAAAATGTATTTGCTATGCCAGCACAAAGGGTTGTGCATTGAAAATTTTGAGTACATGCAATTGATGGGGCAGTTTCAGTTTGAAACCATTCATAATGGTTACTTTGATTCAGAATTGTAGTTGTCAGTATGAGGATATGTAATTAAAAATTCATAGGGAAAGTTAACAACTTAAACTATTTTGAAAAGAAAGTTACGAAATTAAATTTTAAGATACTTCAAGAACAGAATTTCAAAAATCTTAAGTGATTATCGAATTAATTTCAAAACCGAATAGAATTTCTGATAGGCAATTAAATCTCTTGCATATCAGCATAATGAACCCAATTAAATTTTTGCTTCCACCTTCATTTATTGAAAATAATTGGAGTGTGATGATATTGAGTCTGAAATTCGATAGATACAATACAATAGATATAATTGCAGTGCTATTTGTGATGTAACAATAGGTCAATAGAGCGATTTGTGTTTGATTAAAATGTTACTTAACTTAAATGCAAACAAATGCATTAAGAGGATATCTTCGGTTGATATGTATAAGTATTATTTTAATTAGAATATTAGCTAATTAAAACGTTTTAAATGAAATTCAATTAAAATTGATTTTATGATTATATAACATAGATGAAGTTCAGATGCGTGCAAATCTGCTAATTAGTTTTGACGTAAGGTAACTTAATACAATAGCTAACTAATTACATTTGAAATATGTTTTTCTACATTTATATTTGCTTATTATAGTATTGAGTAGGCAAAATAATAGGTGAATATTATCTTTTTATATAATTTACTCCAGCAAAAAATATGCGAACAAAAAAGTCAAGTACGGCTTTGGATCAGTTGGTTAAGGTGCGCTGATTCTGAGCTTCACATTTGGCAGGACCCGAGTTCGATTCCTGGTACTTGCAGTCTCAAAAAATTAATTATTTACGAATAATTAAATACAAGAATTATTTCCAAGACCACTGATGAAGGGTATTTGGCAATACTCGAAACAGCTGTATGGTCAGCCAAAAATTCAATTAATTAAAATAATTTAAAAAATAAATTTTTGTTGTTGTTTCACTTCTGTTCGAAAACCTCTTTATATAATTTACTTATTTAATGTAAGAAAAAATAATTGAATTTTATTAAAATTTACATTTTATGTAATTTGCATTAAAGGTTATATATGGAAATCTGATATTTTTTCTCAACAGTTCTTTAAAAAGTGACGTATTATTTAAGTCATTAAAATATAAATTACTTCAATTATTTTCTATGGTTTTTCTTTCAAGTGCCAGGTTATATTTCGAACTCATACTAAATGTACCGACAAAAGGCAATTGAACCGATGAGGATTTTAACACATTTTTAATTTATTTGAGTTGAGTTTTATACTGCATTGAGTAGATATGATTTTGTATTATGGTTTGATATTGTGAGTAGCAGCTTTACTGTTAGAATATATTTAATTCTAAGAAAGCATGTGTGGCTTTCTACTCTTGTAAAGGGATGTTTGAATAAAAATGGGAGATTTGTCCCGATATTACACACTGGATGTATACGGCCATTGTACGTCCAATTCTCACGTCTGGCGCTGTCGTTTGGTGGTCGGCTCTGAGTAAGAGCTATAACATTGATTAATTCAACAGAATTCAGAGGACGCCATCTGTTGGTATCACAGGAGCTTTTAGGATGACCCCATATTCATTGTTAGCCAGACAGTATTCAAAACCCTTGAATCTTTTATAACAAAATAAGAAATAGTAAAGGAATGTAGAGAATAAATCGACGACCTAAATAGGTTGGTTGATATTACTCTTGGCTGATAATTTGGCCCGCTCTAGTGCTTTCCTGGGTGTGTCACTGGCGGTAAGGGTTTATATTATCCTAGAGACTATTAAGAGAAATACTTTGCTCTAGTTTCTGCAACTTGCCAATAATAAATGGAAAGCACTTAAATCATGTGAAACTTCCAGGTTAACATGGCCCACCTATAATAAAAATAGATCCTCGGAACCCATCAAAAGAGAACGCGTGAACACTGCATGACTTAATGTAGTTCTTTCTGATCATTGGTGTTTAGGAACCCAGATACTGTGCATTCCCTATAATCCACACTACAGAAGTTGTAGAAACATGGAGGAAAAAAAAATCCATAATACATTTTCTATGTAAATGCCTGGCTTCAGCGTCTAGAAGATATAGGTTCTTAGGAAGATACTTCTTTGATAGTTTCTCAGACTGTTCATTGGGGAAGACGAAAGAGCTATTAAATTATCTAAATTCAGCGGGACGGATTTAGCACCACTCTTCTATTTTAGGGTTCCTTGAGAGGAATATGGTAGCATACGGCAAAAAATCGCTAATTGAGGTACGTGGAAGTTATCTAATGGCCTGCCACTATAACCAACCAATCAACCGTATTCAATACTGGTAATAAGTGTAGATTCCTTTCTAAATTCAGTCAACAAGCTTTTTTGATACCAAAAATAGAATATTGAAATACACTGGACGAACTCGAATTTATATGAATTGTGGGTAATATTATTCATATAAAATTGAATAATTGTGTTTAAACCACTTTCAGATAGAACAATGTTATATAGTTAAGCAAGTATTAATAATTATATATATATATATATTATAAATTTCTATGTACTACAATATATTTAAATTGAAGTAAAATAAATCTAAAATACTACTTTTACATACTACTACTACATTTATTAGTAAGTAGTAACTCTGTATGAATAAAGAATTAAGTTATATTGTTGAACTGAATTATGAAATACAATAGTTGTTATCAACCAACCGGTTGATGAATACACAACCGATACACAATATAGGAAAAAGTTATTCAGATAATAAAAATGAACTTTACAGCATGACGAAAGTTAACTTATAAAATAATTAAATATAATTTTTGGAAAAATACTACAAAACTAGAAACAAAATTATAACTTACCGAAACGTCAAAGTCAGCTGTGCATACACACGATAACCTTGTATAGCTTTTGGATCAACGAAAACAATACCACGTAGTATGGATGGACTGCTGCCCGATAGTGTTATCTCGCGTGTCGGTAGATAAAGTGTAATCACACAATTCGGTGAAGTTTTTTTATATACACGTTGTGTGCCAAATTCATCTTTACTTGTTGTTAACCTAGAATATTAAAAAAATGGGTGAATATTCGTACATTAAAAAAAAATAAAACTAAAATTTAACGAAGCTGCTAATGATAATTGTTTACATCATGTAAATAAAATATTACACCCACAACAAAATACCCGTAGCCTAGAATATCGAAGCTACATAAGCACATTACATTTTTGGGCTGCACCTAATTTCACTTAATATTACTCCTTCCTTTCGTGCCGAGTCCAACAATACTGACTGACGTCAATATATTTTTATTACTGTTACGTACCACGCTCAGCAATTTCAGTGTAATAGGAAATTACTCACATAATTAATTGCATACTTTCAGGTAAAACACAGATACCATGTTTACAAATCGATGCATTCGAATGGGCAATAGCGTTTGTTTTTAGTACTTGGTAATGTGAATTCAGATGATTTGTAGTCCCATCCCAACACCATGTTATTGTACTTGACTTTAATTGCTGTATCTGCTAAATTTGTACATTATTTGTCTGCTATATCATCGTTAATTGCAACATTAAAAGAGTTTGTAGACATTTTAAGTGATATTAAGGATAAACACACAATATTGGGATTAATTTATGGCATTAGGATAAAGGCTCATCATAAAAAAGTTATTGTTTACACACTTACAGCAATTAGAACTGTTTTAAATGAAATGTAATTGATATGCTATGATTGTACATTCAGCTGAAATGAAAATTGTTGACTTTTGTAATATAATATATGCCATCATATATCATCATTTACATTTTTAAAAAGTTGAAATTATAGTTATTTTGACATATCTTTAATAGTTGTCTAGTCAGCTCATAATCATTTTTTATTAATTTATTTGAATTTTTTTTATTTTGAACTTTAATGATTTTTTTAAATATTTTAATATACTTTTTTTACATCCCATTTTTCTTCTCTTCTCAATTCTCACTTTTTTTATAAATTTTTCTGGTCTATATACTTTACTTAAATTAAAAATTTAGTTTAGAGTTTATGTTATTTTATGTCTTATGTACTACAACTATTTTCTGATTTTACTTATAATCCAAAACTTTTTTCTCTTTTCTCTTTGTAATAATTTTTTACAAATATTCTTTAAACATAATTTTTTTTTAAAGAATAAAATATTTTTGAATAAAGTATTCGTGTTGCTGTAAAGCTAGACTTTCTTTGTATGGTGACTTCAATAAAATTAAAAATAAATTTTTGTGTTTGTCCTTTATTTCTTTCTTTGTTATTCAAAACCCCTCTGAATAAAATATATTAAGAAATTTTCTTTATGCTGGAACTTAAAAAAATTATAGCACCAATGCCATTGCAAAATCTATGAACAAACAACATTTTTACAACAACAGCGATATTGTCTTGTGTATTATTTTTTTTGTGTTTTTTCTTTACAAGGCATGACACTTGGTGATATGGTAATTAATACCATGATTCTGAATAAGAAATAGCAGGGTAAGAAGCGGTTCTTGGCAACTCTATTCTCTCAAATAATTTTTTATCTAAAATGACTTTCATCACAATTGGATTTTTGGTATTTCTGTTCTCTCTAATATGTTTTTTTGTAAAATGAGTTTCATCATTTTCATCGAAGAAATTATAACTGCCGTAGTATCCAGCAAGTCGCTGCGAAAGTGATTATTGGACTTACGGTTCAAGTTATCACTTTAACCAATCTCTGTATGACCTTATTGTACAGCCTATTATGTCTAAAATTTATTGAACTGTATTGTGTAAAATAAAGAGTCATTTATTGTCAGAGAATACTTTAATACTTTATTATTATTAATACTAATTACTTAATATATGAACATTTTTAAATGATTGCTTCGGAACATAAATATTTTTGTGAAGGTCTACTAACTAGAATATATTTAGTATTTAATTTTTTAGTAAATGTTATTGAACATTATTCTTAATTTAATTTTTTCTTAAGTAAAAATAAAATATAAATCAAAAATATGTAACATTTCGATATAAATGAAATATCAAATAATGTGCCTTTCATTCGAATGAGTTACAAATTAAATAAATAAACACAAAGAAGACTTCCACCATCATGACAGGTTACATGTTAAGATGCTGCAAAGTGTTTTCTGACTTAGAAAATATTTTTATTAAAAGTAAGACAGCATAACTCATTGTGGCTTTTCTAGTAGATATGAGTAACATCAAAAATGGCAATAAGCAGCATCACCTAAGTTAGTTTCTTATGTTCATTGCTTCAACCTTAAACTGTCGGTTTAAACCCATCCTGTTGACCAACACTACAGTTGTGGACATTTTTTGAACTGAAGTTAAGAAGGTGACATTATTTGGTTCATAATAGTTCAATTATTGTGAGTGGTTTCTTAAAAGTAATTACTTTAAATTGATATTAAATTGTAATAAATGAAACAAATGTCTTAGATAAAATCCAATAGATATTACAAACACTTTTATAATAATATCTATAAAAATTTTATTATCTTTTGTTGCTTATTATAGAACCGTAAATTAATTTCGTTTTCTATAGAAATTGTTTTAATTTTTATTTTTATTTTTAACATTAATAATATTTTAGGAAAATATGATTTTTTTAATTATTATAAAATAAAATGTCTTATAATAGGATGAATTTTTTTTTTTATTTTTTTTTTTTTGTGGTGAAGAGGTGGAATGCTTTATGTACCATCAGATCGACCGTTTTCGAAATGGTGTGCCCCCTACCTGTCCACTACCACTACCTCTTCGGCGAGAATAATTCCATCTCGGCACCGCTTACACATTACTTTGAGGAGGGTCTCTTTTATGTTGGCATTTCAAGCCATGCTCTTGTGAATATGACCACCAGTAAGTGGTTTAAGAAAATGTATCACAAAAAGATGTTCAGTTTAAAAGATATTCAGTTTTTTTATAGAATATATAATGTTTTTAATTCAGTTAAGAACAAATATCTAATAATACGATGAGTATAACCAGTAGGTGTTTATAAGAAATTATATTGTAAAAAACATAAAAGTGGTGCTTAGAGATATATAAATTGTATATTATTTTTAATTAAAGAATAATTAAATGTCAATAAATATATTTGGTAGGTGGATAAATAAATTTGTTGTAAACAATTTAAAGATATATATACGTACATATTCATTGTATATATATTGCATCCAACTGAAGAGGAAGAATAAATGCTTATAATATAATAAGTGTGACTAGTAGGTGGTTTTAAGGAAATCTATTGCAAAAAAACTGACTGTCTTAAAAGACATTGTATTGCAAACACAGCTTCTTATAGGATATAAATTGTACGACGAGTATAACCAGTGGGTGTTTGTAAGGATATTTATTTTAAAATACCGGAGTGGGCTTTAATATATATGTATTGTATACTATTGTTAATTAAAGGAAGAATATTTTGTTTAATGTTTATCATATTATTAGACATTTATTCTTACTTCAATCAAAAACATTATATATATATATATATATCTATATGTATATATATACATTATATATATTGTTTATAATTGCGGTAAGAAAAAATGTCTAATAATATAATGATAAGTACCTATGACCAGTAGGTGTTTTTAAGGAAGTATATTGTACAAAACCTAATTTAAACCTGAATAAGGAAGTATTTTCTCATTCTTTAGAAAATGTTATTTTTAATTTTTTATTAACAATGTTGTGTAAAGTTGTTACTTAATCAAAAGTGAATGAAACATTTTTCTCTGAATAATTTTTCTGGAATTTTCTTTATGTTGCTTTGATGTCAGTACTTGAAATGGATTCCAAGATCAGAAAGAAGCGCTTTTTATGCTATTTAAGTATTTTTAGCTTTTAATGTTTGTCAAAAATTTTTGTCATTTTTATAAAACATAAAGTAGTAGTAAAAATTCCTTCCCACTGTTCTAATGTATATTTGTCACGTTACATTACCGACAGCTGTGCACCAAAGTAAAGCCTTGAGTCTGTCGTTAAATAAAAATAAAGCAAAGCTGAAACCTTCACTGCGTACAGCTAAGTAACTCTACGGAACATTCCCAATTAAAGTGTTCATTTTGGATTTCTGCAAAAGAACATGAAATTTTTGTGGTATACGAATATATGGTTATACGGGTACACGGGGTATATACGGGCGTTACACCCATTTGACCTGTATAAAGTGCGCGCCATCAATGCCGTGTTTGAATTGTTACATTAAAATTGACTTTCAAATGACAAAGTCATGTGTGAAAGCGTCAGTAAATGCTGCAGAAAATTAAGCGTTGGTGTATTTCACTTAGGCTTACAATTTGGCAGAATTTTTAATATAAATTACGCTTTTATTTATGAGCATAAAACACAAACGTAAAAAATTTTCACGCTGAATTTCGTTATTTCATAAATTATAATGTGAGTTGAAATAGCATATTTTAACTTAAAAATATGAAAATATATTACGTGTTTATTTTTTTATTTTTTCTCCATTTTCAACACATTTTTAACGCATTTCTCGGGATTTTTTAAATTGCTACGTAAGTAATTTTTCATTTATTTAAACAAGCAAATAACAAAAATATGAGGAAGTCAAAATATTTTTCTTGTAATAATACTTCACGTGCAATTATTTAAAAGTTTTTCATTTGTTTATTTAAAAAAAATATAAAATAAATGTAAAACTTTGTAATAAACATATTTTTCATTATTAATACAAAACCACAATTTCAGTTTCAGCTCCTTAAAGTATGCAACGAATAAAGAGCAACGAGCAATGTGCAAATTAAATGAACTTGTAGGTTAAACAGTGTGAGGAGTGTGTTTACATGAGTCTTGCATGGGTCTTACTTCTGTGGGTCTTGCATTGTATATCGTTTTATAAAACTCTGCCAAGCTTTACTTTTGTTCTGATTACGTGTGTGTTCATTTGGGCTCTGCTTGGTGTATTTTTTTTTTATACTTCACTTCTTTTCTTGTTTTGCATATTTTGTTTTGTATTTTTTTTTCACATTACCATTGTGCCTTGATTTTGTGCTTTACGCGCCTTACAAAATTTTTATGCAGATATCAACACATTCTCGAGTGCCTCTTTGTACCGCCATTGCTGTTCTGTGCCAATACCAGCAGACTTTTCTAATGGAAATATATTGATATACGAGTCCTACGTACTCCTTACAGATTATGGTGATGAAGGTAGCGTATTATATTAATGCGGGTTCACACATATCCATACGTGTTTAGCATATTGCATTGGGTGTAGTGAATACAATAACGAATTCCCTATAAAGGTTTTGTCTGGTGGATGTGGGAACTTTTTTTATTAGCAAAAAGTTTTGATTGGAATTGAAATATTTATATTAAAAAATTCTGATTCACAAAGTTAAATTGTAGCAAAAATGCCAAATGGTTGATTAACTTCAGTTGAACTGTATTTTTTTGTGAACATTTGTAAAGATTAATGCATTTGATTGATTTAA